TATATATTAATATTATATTATATTATATTATATATATATATATATATATATATATATTCCGGATTACCCACGGATTGCCACGGATCGGATCGGATTTTTGACAGAATTGTTATATATTAATATTATATTATATATATATATATATTACGGATTACCCACGGATTGCCACGGATCGGATCGGATTTTTGACAGCCTAATCCGTGATCCGATCCGTGAACTACGGATTCAATTTTTTAAAATCTACTACGGATCGGATATTGGTAACATGATGCTATAAGAAAAAGGAAATGAGTACTCAAAAACGATTAAACTAAAATACATACGAGAACAGAGTCCTCACACGAATGACTTGACATGAATGAAAACACATAAACACCTTCCATACTCCCGGAATACCCAACTAATGATAAACATGATCATGATAATAATATACATCAACTTTAAACATTTAGCACATAATCACATAAGCAGTTAAGCAATTAAGCAGTTAGACATGCTTTTCAAACAATTTAACACCTTAACACATAAACATATAAACATGCAATTCAACTTCCCATGCAATCCTAGGTAGGCCTCTACCCGTCTTCCTAATGGTATTCGAACCATTGCTCTGATACCAAATTTATAACAACCCAAAAAGATATCGGTCGACGGTACCAAAAATAATAATAATAATAATAATAATAATAATAATAATAATAATAATAAAAATAAAAAATCCGGCATGACCTCTGCAAAAAAAAGTCCTACTATGATCTGCTGAAATACATATAAAATGCAATGGTCTCACTTGGCCTTAAAACTAATCTATCATGTCCCAACGCACAATATAAATAATATATAACATTCCCAATATATAGTTGCATGAGAGACAAAGAGGGAAGGATCAGTTTTTATTTCCTATAGTCATCATTTTTTTTTCTTTTAAAACTTTAACACTTGTTAATATTTTATTCGGTCACCTCATTATAAGAAGGAGCGGCCTAAGGCAAACATTGTTCATTTTTTAATATTTCTAACTTACCCTTGTACCTTGAAGTTATAAAAGCAATTAAAGTTTGAAATAATTTCATATAGACCCACCATAGAAGAGTATATATAGAAATTCATTTCCAACCGGCCACCACTATAATAAAAAAAGAGTAAAGTGCAAAAAACCCACTTGGACTATTTCTCTTTTGCATGTAACCCCCTAAACTGCAAATTGTCCCCCTAAATTATTGATATGTTGCAATTAAGGGCAAATCTATCACAAAAGACTATTTTTCCCTTTCTCATTAAATTTGTCACTTTTAAAATTATTTTTATTATCTTTTCTCTTATCAAAATATTAATTATATCATTTATCTTAATTTTATTATTAGTATCAATTTATCATAAAAATAAAAATAAATAATAAAATATTTGTAAGTACCATTTTAAAAATGATTAACTTATTATTAAAATTTTACTATTTATAATAAAACTTATCATGCTCACTTTGAACTTTTTTACCATAAACGTACCATCTTTTCATACAATATATTCTTGAAAAATTAATAAATCACTTAAATAAAAAATACCTTCTTTTTTATGCAATAAATTAATGAAAAATTAAGAAATTACTTAAATTGTTTTAAAATTTTCCACTTAATATTTTTATTTAAAAAATTAATACAAAAAATTAAATGTAAATTAATGCAAATTTAATGGAGAAACATGTCATCATATTAGTATGAATTCTTTTTCATAATTTATTTCCATAAGAAAAATAGATTAAGTGTAATTTAATAAGAAAGAGTATTATGGGCATTTAATGAAATATGATCAAGGCATCGGGACATTTTGCAAGTAAATGTGATAGTTTATGGCGTTATACACACAAAATATAGTTGAAGAGGATTATTTACAAATTTTGACATAGTTTAGGGATTTTTTTTGCACTTTACCCTAAAAAAATTATTAAAAGCTACATTATTATAAGGGCAAATTGTGAAAACCGCTCTTGACTATTATCCATTTGCAAGAAACCATGTTATGAATATTTTTGACAAAAAAAACTCTTCAGCTATCATGGGGGTGATTAAACCTAAACCCCTTTAACTAATTTGTGAGGCAAATTTTTCTAACAAAATTACCTTGAACTTCATATTCCTTTTTAATAATACAATCAACAGTCTTCGTGAAACAACCAAACCATCTTAAGGTTTATTGGACTTTATGTCCTTCCTCTCCAAATTTTCTTTTTCCTTTAAAAGAATACAAAAATTTAAAAGTAAGTGCCATACTTTTCTTGCAAATTTTAACGGTGTATTTAGTATTTACAGCTAAAATCCCAAGAAGTACAGAGCTGGACCAAACCCAGCTTTTATGAAATTTTGATTTTTCCAATTTACCTATAAAAAAAATTTTAGCACAAAATTTACCTTTTATGAAACAAATTCAAAGTGACAAGTAAAATCCAAATACATAAACAAACACTATCTTGACAGTTTAATGAGAACGTTCTATTAAAATCATAACATGTCTGCACACACGAACCCCATTTTGGCAGGACTCATGAATTATCATTGATTGTTCTATCCCCATTCCTCACAAAAACAAGAAACAAATAAATTAATCAATTAACAATGAAAAAAAATTGAAAGGTAAAAACATAGAGTTATTTTAGATGAGTTTAGTTAATTGTTAATAACTTAATTTGTATCCAAGTTTGGTGAATTGAGAGAGCAACAGAGAATAAATGTTTAAGTTAAAAGATGTTTAGGGGGTAATTGCGTCACAAATTAATTAAACGTAGTTAAGTTAAAATCAGTTGAAGTTTTTTTTTTTTTTACCAAAAAAATATTCATAAGGTTATTTTAGACGAGTTTAGTTAATTGTTAATAACTTAATTTGTATCCAAGTTTGGTGAATTGAGAGAGCAACAGAGAATAAATGTTTAAGTTAAAAAGATGTTTAAGGGGTAATTGCGTCACAAATTAATTAAACGGAGTTAAGTTAAAATCAGTTGAAGTTTTTTTTTTTTTTTTTTTACAATTCATCCTTAGACTCAATTGATTAAAATAATGAATAGTGAAAAATAAATAAACATATGAAAATTTATATTGCAATGCCTCGATAGTCCCGTAGATTTGGTAGACTTCGACTATCAGCATCTACTAATCTAACTTCTAACACTTCTTGCCTTGTAAATATATATATATATATATATATATAGAGAGAGAGAGAGAGAGAGAGGCGCTATTCGCACTCCACTTTTCTATGTTTTTGCACTATAATTTTAAATGAAATGTCAATTATAACTTTAATTTTACAAATAAATGATTATTACTTTTTAAATGACACAAATGTCCTTCCGGATTTCTTCACCATATCTCTAATCTTTAATATTTTAGGTCTCTTTTGACAAGATAAAATAAATAAATAAATAAATAAATTGAATAATATTTTATTTACAGAAAAAAAAAAACAAATTATGTTGACTAAATTGCCTCTTTTGACCTGACCAAAAAAAAAAAAAGTAACTATTAAAATACGGAAAAAAAACCCAAAAAAATATATATATTTATTAAAGAAATTATCTCTTTTGTCAAGGTAAAAAAAAAAAAAAAAGGTACGAGAAAAGAGAATTAAAAAAAAAAATATATATATATATATATATATATATATATATATATATTGAATATTTCTCTTTTGATAAGACCAAAATATATATATATATATATATATGTATATATATATATATATATATATATATATATTGAATAAAATATTTCTTTTGACAGGAACCATATATTAAAAATCACAAAAAAAAAAAAAGTTACCACTTTTGATAGGATTGAAAAAATAAAAATAAAAAATAAAAAAATTTAACTTTGTTGAATAAATTATTTGTTTTGATTGCAAAAAAAAAAAAAAAAAAAGAAAAAAAAAGAAAAAAAAAGTCACTAGTGAATAAATTACCTCTTTTGACTGTCAAAAATAAAATTATCAATATAGGAATTATTTTCTTTGAGAGGACCTCTGAAAAGAAAAAGAAAAGAAAGTATAGCACAAGAAAAAAAAAAAAAATAAAGGAACTACAAAAGGTCAAAAAGAAGAAGTTAAAGTTGTATAAATGATAGTTATGGCATTATAAAATAAGACATAGTACATTAATGAATTCAATGATCTTTTTATCATTTTCTTTAAACAAAAAATATAAATGGAGTGCAAAGGTAGAAAAGTGGATATATATATATATATATATATATATATATATATATATATATATATATAAATGAACGTATTGCAAGAAGAGCATTTATAAAATAAACTATTAAATGGTTACTTATTGGCAATTAATTTTCAGGGTGACTATTTTTTTTTTGATTTTTGATTTTTTTTTTATTTTATGGTCACTTATGTTTAGATTAGGTAACTAAAATCTAATTTTTCCAGTAAAATATACATAATCTCCAATGTAATCTTCTTGTTGCAATCTCATTTTTCCCCCTCTAATTTAATAGGTTGAGAGATAAGGTAAGTTGAAAGTATGGTTCAACCGTGGGCATTTAATTTGTTACCATTATGGCTGTGGGAGAATTTAGACAAAAATATTGTTAATCCCGGCTTTGTTTAACAAATTCAATTTGAGTAATCAATGTGTGGAATTAATACAAGCTCAACATGTCCTTTTTCCCTGTTATAAAAGCCCATCACTGTTTGTTCCATGTAAACATTAGCAGTAGAGCTCAAGCTTTTGGAAGTCCCCTCTAATGGCTAGTCAAATGTCCTCTCCTTCATGGCTTATCGTCATTAGTCTTACTCGTGCTATGCTTATTAGCTGCATCGGAGCATCTGATGGAGATCTAAAGGCATGTGTGTGTGTGTGTATATATATATATATATATTTACATCTACATATATATTGCTTTTAAAGTGTTTAGAGCTTGGTTGTGCCATGAACAAGGCTTGTTAATTAGATATGTGCATTATCTGTTAACTTCATTTTGTGGTTGTAGGTATACATCGTGTACATGGGTGACCGTCTCAAGGGTGATCTCGACTCTGCACCATCCCTTCATATGAGAATGCTACAGAAAGTTGTTGGCAGGTCACCTATACCATAATATTAGCATGTCACAAGGAAGTAGAAAATATAATCTTTAAGTGTACTTGTAATGTGGTAATTACAAAATTGAACATGCTCAAAACAATTTCTTTTCACATTTGCATTGAATCCTACCATCACAAATCGTTAAACTTAAAAGTAAAAATATAAAAGAAAGCATATAAGTAAAGTTCTTATTTTTGTTCTGGCTAAGCAGACTCTGGTCGTTGTCTTTCAATACTTTTCTTTGAAATAATTAAAAATATATGCAGTTTTGGAGACCAACTCTCAAAGTCATAGAGTTGACTTTTTCAAAATTATGAATTTTTTTCAAAGTTATATTTGAAAAAATACTATTTATTTATTCAAATTGCCATTATTATTTTCAAGTATCAAAAGACTTTTGTGCATGTACATAGATGGAACAAGCTTGGACTCGGGGGTATATGCTCCCCTGCACCCAAGCTGGCCCATTAATAGTTTTATAAATAATGAAATAATTAAAAAAATATGCAGTTTTGGAGACCAACTCTCAAAGTCATAGAGTTGACTTTTTCAAAATTATGAATTTTTTTCAAAGTTATATTTGAAAAAATACTATTTATTTATTCAAATTATTATTATTATTTTCAAGTATCATTTTTGTGCATGCACATAGATGGAACAAGCTTGGACTCGGGGGTATATGCTCCCCTGCGCCCAAGCTGGCCCATTAATAGTTTTATAAATAACAGTATATAATTTGTGAAATATCACTTTGTGCCACCCCATTGCCGAAATTAAATCCCTATACATGCATGCAAGTAGCGCACTTGTGAATAGAGATACTGCTCTTGTGCATATGGGAACATTTTTTTTTTGCACACAATTGTCTACTATAATCAGGGGTGGAGCCAGGAATTTATTTCAGGGGGCGCCATATTAAAGATGATAAATTATATTTTTTTTCAAACGAAAAGTGATGCAAGACAATAAATCAAAAAATAAAATTGTACTAATGGTGGAATAATAGCATTTAATAATTTGAAAATAATTATTTAAAAAAAATAGGAACATAAAAATACCGACCATAAGGCAACAAATTTAATTACCAAACTTTGAAGAGAAAAAAAGAAAAAAATAGTTTGAATAAAGGAATGCAACTTTTTTTAAAGAGTATATAAAGAAGAAGAAGAAGAAGAAGAAGAAGAAGAAGAAGAAGAAGAAGAAGAGGAGGAGGAGGAGTAAGAATGAAAAGAAAGGAAAAATTAGAGATATTTTTTAAAAATAATTATTTTAGTGGGCATTTTTGTAAAATTTTATAAATTATAGGCCTATTTGCAATAAAAATTAATTGGCCCAAGGGTAAATAATTATTTCAGGGGGCATTTTTCAATTTTTTATAAATTATTAGCCTATGTGTAATAAAAATTAATGGCCATTTTTTTTAAAATAAATTATTTCAGGGGGAACATTTTGAAAACTTTTATAAATTATAGGCCATTTTGTAATTAAAACTAATAGGCCAGCATAGGTGCCTTCTATAAAGAAAAGAGGAATGATATTGGCACTTCTTATAGCCCCAATACGATCATACATCCCAATTCATCTTCTTTATAACTATCTTCTTTAATGCACTGGATGCATTCAACAGTAGGGCATCAGAATCTTTACTCTATAGCTACAAGAGGAGCTTCAATGGGTTTGTAGCAAAGCTGACAGGGGAAGAGAAGGACAAAATAGTAGGTGGGTAATTTATAAATTCAATTAATTAATTAATTAAGCTATCACATGATTTATATTTTCAATTTATTAATTTATACGTTCTCTCTCTGCTTTAACTTTCAAAAAATTCAGGCACCGAAGGAGTAGTGTCAGTGTTCCCTAATGAAAAGATGAAACTCCACACAACAAGGTCATGGGACTTCATGGACTTCCCTCAAGAAGTAAAAAGAAGCGCTTATGAAAGCGACATCATTATTGGAATGCTTGACAGTGGGATTTGGCCTGAATCTGAGAGTTTCAATGACAAAGGATATGGTCCACCTCCAAGCAAATGGAAGGGCTCTTGCCAATCCTCTAAAAATTTCACTTGCAACAAGTATATGCCAATTACATAAATGGATATCTTAATTAATTGCTTTTGCTTGTGCTGCCACTAAAATTTTGAGTACTTTTCAGTAAAATTATAGGAGCTAAATACTACTATACCGAAGGATCAATACCTCCACAAGAAGTTGATTCACCAAGAGATGTAGATGGCCATGGGACACACACTGCATCTACAGCAGCAGGGCACTTAGTGAGTGGCGCAAGCTTATTAGGCCTGGGCTTGGGTACAGCCCGGGGAGGGGTTCCTTCAGCTCGCATAGCTGTGTACAAGGTATGTTGGGGTGATGGAAGTTGTTTATCTGCGGATATTCTTGCAGCATTTGATGATGCTATTGCTGATGGAGTTGATATAATATCACTTTCGGTTGGGGCATCGTTTCCATTGAATTACTTTGAAGATTCCATTGCCATTGGAGCTTTCCATTCTATGAAGAACGGAATACTCACATCCAATTCTGCTGGTAATGAAGGTCCTGATCCTGAAAGCATCACAAATTTCTCACCATGGTCACTCTCAGTGGCTGCTAGCACCATAGACAGAAAGTTTGTGACAATGGTGCAGTTGGGCAACAATATGTCTTATCAGGTGAGCAACTTCCTATATTCAAACAACTCCAATGTAAAATGGATGTGGACCCACGCTCACCACGTTACCCAATACCTAGGAGTACGGTACCCCGGGTCTCTCAGCAATTAAGTGGGTCACAACACAACATCCAACGGCTAAGAGACTCATGGTACGGTAGTACCGGGGTATCGTAGACTTTCTCCCATTGTATGGGTATTGTTTGATCTATGCCATCCAATCAATGGGGTCATACCTTATGTTGGCCTCTACCCTTCAAATGTGCTTTGTTATAAGTTCTGAACTTGTTTTACATGTAGGGAATCTCAATAAATACTTTCGAGCTCAAGGATCAGTGCCCTATGGTTTACGGTGGGAATGCACCCAATTCTGGTTTTGATGGAAACACATCCAGGTAAGAAAGAAAAGGGAAATGTCAATCCAAAAATTTTAGATTTATTATCAACATTAATGATGCAAGCTTAATCATTTAGTTACATCAATCACAGATAATTGATTGAGGATTAGAAAATGCATAAACAATGATAATGAAATGCAGGTTCTGCACCTCAGGCTCATTGAACAAGACTTTAGTGAATGGCACAATCGTTCTATGTGATCACCTGACTGACGGAGAAACGGCATTCAATGCTGGTGCAATCGGTACCATAATGAATGACGATGAAGGCCGCACAGATGGCTTTTCTTTTCCTTTGCCGGCCTCCTACTTGGGCTTTGAAGATGGCAGTGCTGTTTACCATTACATAAATTCAACTCGGTATATATAGATTTATAGACAATATTAATGTGTTTTGACACTTTATTGATCACAACACATTTAACAATTTGGATAAAACGTACTCTACAGTAAGCCAACTGCAACTATAAAGAAAAGCATCGAGACTAAAGACAAATTGGCTCCATATATAGCTTCATTTTCATCAAGAGGGCCGAACCCAATTACAAGCGACATTCTCAAGGTATCTTATACATATGTACTATATAATATGTTAATGGAGTTAAATATTACCGTCATCATAATAATTAAATTAAAACACGCGTTGGACTAAAAGAAGGACACACATGAGAGACTTATATATATATATATTCTGGTTTTATATTTGAAAACTCCATTCTTGTGCAGCCTGATTTAGCAGCTCCTGGAGTGAACATTGTTGCTGCATGGTCACAGGCTACCACTGTGACAGGAATAGAGGGAGATAAAAGAGTAGTTCCATACAATATAATCTCCGGCACATCTATGTCTTGCCCACATGCTACTGGAGCAGCTGCCTATGTAAAATCTCTTAATTATGGATGGTCCCCTGCTGCTATTAAGTCTGCCCTGATGACAACTGGTAATTAACTAACTTGGAAAATCTCTTAGGTTACTCATGAATATTATTATGTATTGGAATACATCCATTATTTGTAGCTAACATGGTCCTTTTTTTCTTTTTCTTTTTCTTTTTCTTTTTTTTTTCTTTTTTTTTTTTTTTTTTTTTGTTCTTTACAGCTCATCCAATGAACAGCGTCACTAACCCTGATGCCGAGTTTGCATACGGGGCAGGTCATCTTGATCCATCAAAAGCTACAAAACCTGGTTTAGTATATGATGCCGGAGAGCTTGATTATGTGAAATTTTTATGTGGCCAAGGTTATAGCACCAAGTCATTGCAACTTGTCACTGGAGACAATAGCAGTTGCTCTGCAGCCAACAATGGAACTGTCTGGGATCTAAATTATCCTACTTTTGCTATATATTCTCAGACTGAGCATCCCCTCACCCGTGTCTTTCACAGGACTGTCACAAATGTTGGTTCAACGGTGTCCACTTACAAAGCAATTGTGGCAGCCCCTGCAGGACTTACGATCCTAGTCAATCCGAGTATCCTTACATTCAAGTCATTAGGTCAGAAGCAATCCTTTGTAGTTACAATCACAACCAAAGCACATAAGAATTTACTTTCTGGGTCATTGGTGTGGGATGATGGGGTGTATAAAGTGAGGAGCCCTATTGTGTCATTTTAGAAATGAAATATGACAAAAGCATGGAGTGTTTTGGATTACAGTGAAGAAAATTGCATCATTTATTCATAGATGGCTATCTTGTTTGGTTCCAAATCATTCAAACAATTGTGAAAAAGCCCAAGTGAAAAAATAAGATTAGAATTACGATATGTAATTAATCAAGCTTTCTAGGGATTGGCATTGTATATGACTATTTGAAAGGAAAACTACTGCAAAAACCCATAGACAGGTAGGGCTGCAAACGAGCCAAGTTTTGGACAACTTGAACTTAGCTCATGTTTGGTTCGTGTACGTTTATTTAATAAATGAACCAAGCACAAATTGAATTTGTGTGTTTGATTAATAAGTGAACCAATGACAAACATCCCTATGCTTGGTTTGTTAATTCTGTGAACAATCTCGCTTATATGCTTGTAAAGTAGGGTTGTAACTCAGGCGAGCCCAACCCGAATAACTCGAGCCCAACTTCAAATTTTGTGGGCTTGGGCAATGTGTTTTTAGTTTCGGTTTTGGCCTAGGTTATATATTTTGAGCCCGAATTCAATTCGGTCTAGGTGTCACGCCCCAAAAATTTTAATAACATGCTATGTTTATTCAAGTCCAAATACATCACAATACACCCAGGACCATAAAAATTACCTCCTCTTTTATACAAAAATTAATTTTCTCAAATACACAAAAATTCTCCAAATAATAAAAATAAAACTCGCAACGCCAACTCTTCATCCTAAACCCGTCTCTAGCAATCCCCGTTTATCTTCAGTACCTGAAACTGGAGGGTGGTGAGACAAAAGTCCCAGTAGGAAAAATTATAACAAGAATTTCATGGAGGTTTAATAAAACAGCTTCACAAAATATACATAGTCATGTGAGTATATAAACAAAATACATATGCATTTAATCAAAATATTTAATCAAAAATCATTGAAGCAAAATCACTCCAAGCCATTCGAGGTATAGAGAACCCTACACTGAAAAAGAATGTCCTCACTGGATCATCAAACCTCAAGCTCCAACCTTCTCTCTGCAACTCTCGGCTCCTCCGTCTGTAGTCCATTTTCTCACTCTGTTTCTCTTTCTCTCTATTCTTCTATTCTGTTTGCTCGCTAAATTCACAAGACAAGGCATCATTTATAAAGGCAAATCCACCCCCTCACACCGCAACAGACCCACGTGCAAAAAGCTAAACAAAGTCCGAGTCAAAAAGTTAGTCTGCCAAAACACTCGTTTCAAGCCAACCCCACGTGAAGAACAAAATTCAAAAAACTTAAGACCACAAAAATAAATTTCGTGGGCCCCACCTTTTTTTTTTCCTAACTCTGCCGCCACATACTCCTTTTCTTACTTTTCCCATCAGATACATTATATATATAAATATATAATGAGTAATCAAATCAAAAAGCCAACCCATTACTCCATTTCGTCTCCACCTGCTCTATCACACAGCACCACACAATATATATATTTATACAATCAAAACATCAAACCCATTAAACCATTCCAGTGGGACCCGCCATAAACCTTACCTTATCAATTTCTTTCTTCTTTCATCAAATCAGCCCACGTGAATGAACCAAATTCACTACATACTTAACATCCAAGTGGCGGACCCCACAAGAACTCATTACCATTCATTTATCCCATTCTTCACGCTCTCGGTTGCAGCTGTTCCCACCGACATTACATATATATATATATATATATATATATATATATATATATATATATAATAGGTTACAAAAATATTAATTCAATTCTTTAAATATCTCTTTGGTGGCCCCACCAAAAATCACATTTCCAACTCCATTACTTTCTTTTCTTTTAATTTTTGAAACCACTGTCTTCTTTTCACAAACATACTATATATATATATAATAATAATAATAATAAAAATCAAATCAAATGATTGAAACCCAAAATCTCAATCTCTAACAAAATAATTATTTTTGTCAACTTAAAAATATGAAATAAATATAAATTTAAAATTTAAAATTTAAAGAAAAAATTCGGGTTATCACATTAGGCTTGGGTTGATATGGATGAAGCCCGAAGCCCAACCCGAGCTCGAAAATATTATATATATTTATAACCATACTTAGATAACAAGAGTGTGGTAGCCAAGTCGGTAGTATTCTTAGAATTTATACTAAAGGTTTCATGTTCAAATCACAAGTGCACAATATTGTGCTAGGAACATAGTGTACAAAGTTTCATAGTTCGGGATGGATTTGTGTGGCCTATTCTTGAACCATTCCAATGCGGCTCCCGTTAAACTAGTCGAAAAAACCTTACACATGAACGCATCGTTGTGATTGTCCAGAGCCATCTTTTGTGAATAGTGGTTGAGGTGGTGAGAAGGATTTCATGTACCATCAAACTGAGTGAAAGAAGGCATGGTGAACTTCTTAGGTCTGTCAACAAGGTATATATCATTGGTGAATGGAGTCCTTACTAGAGAGTTCTTATGCTCTCTGGCTATCTCAGCGGGCGTCTAAATCCTCAGGAGCCTCTTCTCATTAAAGGCCTCCTGGACTCCAGCGCCATTCGGAATGCCATTAAACTATATCGTAAGCTTACGGCTGGACTCGGCCTATTCGTCCTGCATAAGACGATGATGATTATCCGAAGCGACCACTTCGGTTCTTGTCCTCTGCTCTTGCTGAAAGTCATTAGGTCGAACCTCATTCGCTTGAGGTTCGTTACCAGGAGGAATATTTTGGTTGGGGGGAGGTGTTGCCGCGTCACCAGGTGGTGGTTGTGGTGCTATCTGAGCCATTGCCATTTGAAGGGCATCGTTTCTCTGCTGAAGCAACGCAATCTGAGCCGTGCTGGCCTCGTTCGCTTGACGAAGCATTTCAAATTGGTGCAAGAACTCTTCTCGCATCTTTTGCATTAACTCTATCTGCTAATCAGCTACTGCTACGGATCCTCCGATTGACATTCCAGATCGTAGTAGCATAAAAGATTTGAATCAATTGTGGGAGTATATTTCTATACGTTTCCCACAGACGGCGTGTAATACCCTTAATTTTAAAAGGATAGTCTCGGTATTTAATTAATTGTTTTATTGCATTTTTGTTTGATTATTTGCTGATTTGTTTAATTATTTTTATTTATTTAAATTAATTATTTTATTATTTTATTTAATTGAATTAATTGGTTAATTATTTTATTTAATTGGTTATTTGATTTATTTGTTTATTTACATTTATGCTTAGGTGGACTTAGTTTAAATATGAATTAAATGTATTATATAATTCTAGTGTTTTATATTCTTCACGGGTTAGCCGACTTGTGTTTTCTTTTCTTTTCATTTCCCAAGTATAATTAGAATTAGGTTATCCTAAGTTGGTCTATAAATACATCATTAGGGATCTGCCAAGGGTTTAGAACCCTATTCCCGTAACAGTGGAGGTAGGGAGAAAGAACAGTGAGGTTTGAGAGAACAAAGAGAACCACTAGGGTTTTGACTGTAGATTAAAGGATGGACCAAGGAGGAGGGAAGGTATTGCTTATGGATTTAAACCAAAGCAGTAGGCGGTTGACAGTAAACGGAAGTCATTGAAAAACTTAGGAAGACTACGTTAAGGTTTCAAAACTGAAATCTCCAAGACAAGTTTTATTCTTACTCTCTCCCCTTGACCTGTGTTCTGTGCATGCCTAGATGATCTCTAGGATTTTAATCAAACATTAAATTAATCTTGTATGCTTTAAATCAGAATTAATCTGTATATGTGTTGTAAATTTAATCTGTTTCTTCGTATCAATTATTTTCTCATATGTGTTCTAAATTTCTGTTAATGATGCATATTGGTGTTTTGATGTTTTTTGAGTAATTTTGGAACATAAATTGAACCCTAGGAACTGTATTAGACATTACAGAGGGTTCTGCAACGTCGTCGGAGGCGAAGGAGACAACCGAATCAGTTTACGGCTCTTTGTGTGAGAGAGAACCGGTTCCCTAAAGAGGGAACCGACTCCCTAAGTGAGAGAGCTGGCTCTCCATGAGGGAGAGCCATCTCTATGAGGGGGAGAGCCATCTCTATGAGGGGGAGAGCCGGCACTCTTGTTTAAATACACCAGTAAGTGTATTTTTGGTGGTTTTTGGAACTTTAAGGGCTGAAATGGAATTATGGGTTTTAAAGGGGGTTTTAAATGATTTAAATCAACTTGTTAAAATTCTAAAACAGTTAGTATATGCTAATATGCTAATATTACTGGACATCATGAAATTTAATTATTTATTTGCATGCTGTCAATGGATGTGGAATATTTACTTACTTCTTGTTGTTCAAGCAAGTTAATTGGATTTGTATAATTATACCCATGTATAATTGAATGTAATATGCTCAATTGGTTATCTAATTTATATTATATCATTCCCTGGATTTTAATTGGCGCTTTATTGATTACTACTTTGTCAATTATTGGACTGTCTTGTGAATTAATTAAAGTTTAAATTAAATTATTTAAATTGTCAATTACATAGATGTTATTATGGATATTAATTGATGAACCATTAAATTATGTTCTGTCAATTACATGGATGTTATGGATTGTATGCACCAGTATGGAACGGTGGCATATTAGGGATGGTTTAGCTCAAAACACTAAGTCCTACCTACTCTGAAATAAGGGAATGGATTATAAAATTAAGTCCTAGTTATATTTAAGTCAGATTAACTGAGTAAGTTGAGTGACTAACTGGATTATTTGTTATTTGTGTTCAAGTCAAATCAACTGAATAAGTTAAGTGACTAACTGAATTAGTTATTACTTATGTCAGATCAATGAACAATTGAATGACATACTCTGATTTTGGATAGATTTTAAATATATGACTATGGTACCACGATTTGAGCTTGAGTCTCAGAATCGATGGTTAGGGAGCGTGTATGCATTGGGATGCATAGCTGGCTATGATGGTTGAGGTATACCCTGTTAGGTCTAGGTACTCATACCCACCTCTGGTGCATTTTGTATATTGTCTTCTATTTAGGTTGAGACCCCTTTGTAGTTCAGTGAGAGTCCCTTAGTGTGGATAT